CCCTCCCCCTCTTCTTCTTCTTCTTCTTCTTCTTCTTTCACTGTTTCAATGTTCTTCTTTCTCAACAGACAGGAAATTTGAGGTAGATAAAGTGTTAAAGTAGTTGAAAAAGTCAGACAGCAAGTGGTACCATGTTTATGCACTCACTAACAGACTCTAAATATCGCTACTTAAAAGAATGCTAAAATAAAATAAAACATGATTAAAGCAGAGTGCAGCAGCTAATCACCAAGGAAGAGCATTAACAGCAAACAATAAGTGCTTCATTTGCAGGAAACATTGACTTATCTCCTGTGTGATACACAATTAAATTGCAAGGTTTGTCAACTACAACAAGATCAAACTCTCAGTCGCTTATATTCCAAAATACTCATATTCCGAGCTAGATCAAACACTACCCTAATGCATAAGTTTTTGAATCCAACTAGCGACCAATTTGTACAGAGTAGGGGCAATTCATAGAAACTTTTTCCACTAATATAGGGAAAATTGCACACCACATAAAAATGATAGGGACTTCAAGTCCACTAAGTCAAATAGAGACTTCCAAGTTTACATTACAAAGAAAGCCGTGAAACAGTAGTTATTTGGAAATGGAAAGGGATCATTGTTAATTTACCTGCAAATGATGGGTCGCCAATGCCATTATCTCCACCTTGCACGCGCAATCATCTAGCAAGCAAGGTCATTACTTCTCCAAGAGCTACAATAACACCACAGTATACGAACACATCACAACACAAAGATATATGACTCAATGGCTAGCAGAAAAGGAAACCAGAAAAATCACAATTTAACCCAAAGTTAATATATTATCTCAGAGGCAAGATAATCAAAGATATAACCTTTTTAGAAAAATTACAAAAGGAAAGCGAAATGAAAAATCCAAGCGATTGTAAAAGTAGGAAGATTTTCCATGCACTAAATCATAGCTTAAATGTCTTGCAAGCATTGAAAATAAGAGACATCTTTTCCCCTTTCCCCCAAAACAGATTTGAAGAGGTTCGAATTCACTTCCTAAAAGGGGAATATATCGGTTTCATGGATTCCTCTAGCTCAACGAAAATTCCAAACTTAAACCTCTTTAAAAGACGAGGAATTGTAGGAAAAATTGGAGGTCCACACCATAATTTCGCTTCATACCTAATTTCACAGCTCAATAAACAAATTTACACAATTTGTGGCAGTAAGAAAGAAGCAGAAGAATGCTTACAGGGCAAGATACGTGCAAATACGTGTAACCTATACAAGGGGTGATGAATTGCTTTACAAGAAAGAAGAGTTTTATCTGTTTCTTAAGATAAAGAAGCAATTTTTAGAGAGGGAGAGATAAAAGTAGAGATTTCGGATAGGAGAATTGAATATAGGGGAGAAAGGGTCAGATTTGTGAAATTAGGGTTCTTCCAGGGACCTTTTCGATTTTTCATTCTTCAGTTTTAGAGGTTTTCGTTTTCTTTTTACCTTTTTTTCCTGCTTCAACTCGGTCCTTTTGTTTAAAATTTAAACAGTTATCACTTTTAAGCCCGTATAATGTTCACTTAATAAATAAGTTCTGGTAGAATGTATTAGAAAAAATAATATATTTATTTATCTTAATATGATTAATTTCTTGTTGGTAGTATTTCTTATACATAACAAACAATGCATTAAGAATATCATAGTTTTTAATACATGAATAATCATGCATAAAGACAAAACTGCCCTTTCAAAATATTCTTCAAATCCTTTCCAATGCAAAGATATTTTTGTGAGCAAACAATTTTAAAAAAAAAAAGGATTGCAATGCATATTATTTTTAATGCACCAAACCAAACAGTGAATAAGAAATAATCTCAACATAACTAATCCAAGCATTAGTAATACACCATATTCAGTACTATTCGTATACACCCTACCAAATGATCCCCAAGTATAAAGTTTTTCCATCCTCAAAATATGCGGGAGAGATAGATCAGAATTATAAGAAACGCTTTAAGGTTCAATGCAGAAGTTTGTTTGAGAAAATATTAAAGCTTTGTACAGTCAAACCTCTCTATAACAGCCTCGTTTGTTCCGAATATTTTTGGATGTTATAGCGAAGTGCTATTATATAAAACATATATTATAACATTACATGAAAATTGGTTCCGAAAAAGCTTGACTTTTATAGTAAAGTGTTGTTATACAACAATGTTATAGAGAAGTTTTGACAGTATATATAAATGACAGCATTCAAAAAGCTGCTTGAATTCATAACATGTTGAACTGCAAAAAAATGAACTATCTCGCGTGGAATCTGATTGCCATGTCTAACTAGTTAATCTAGCCTGACGCAACTTGTTAGTCTTTCTACAATCAGGTGAATTGCTTTAACCGTTAAAAAAGTAACAGCTCATTGAGAAGGGACTAAAACTGCACCAATTTGATAAAACTATCAGGACTATTAGTGCACCATGTCAAAGAGGATGATTTTGAGACGAAGCTCAAAGATAGGGAAAAATTTTGGGCATTTTCTCAACAAAATAACATAGCGGAGCAGGCAAAACCAGCTTCACTCTGCCCATCATTCTTGCTTCTCGACCAAGAGAAAAAGCTACACCTCTAAATTGTGATGGTACAAAACTACAAACGTAATAGCAACATACAAATGCTTCATACGAATTGACATTCTTCTGTGGAGAAAATGGGCAACTATTTTAATGTTCTTCAAATTAATTACAGTTCTCATAATGCCGCACTTACTGTTGCACCAAACACAATATTTTTCCCAAAACCATGTGGCAAAACCAGGCTGTAGTCCAGCTCACCCGTGTGACATTGGCCAACAAGTTCTCTTTTACCACGTCAAAAGCTACCACCTAAGACTGCACCACCAGACATCTTGCAAACTAAGCAAAGATTATCCGGCAAGTTGCTATCCATCACAAACTAAAAAGACCTAAATCCACATTTTAGCCTCCCCATCAATCAATCATAATTGGCATTTATTCGGCCAGAGCCACCTTGCCTACCATGGAAATTCCCACCTCCACGCTTTGACTGACCCTGACCCCTCTCTCTGTATCTCTGACCAACATTGTGAGAACCATCAGCTGGCCCTTCAAAATTACTTGATTTGCTATCACTGTATTGCCCAACTGGCTGGTACTCATAATGCATGTTGTTCCTCCGCCTTTCTCGACCACTGGAGGTGCTGTGCTGCCAATTATCTCTCCCCGAGAACATATCTCCACAAGATTCCTGCATTCTGGCAGGACGATTGTTTTGGTTTACATTCCTTCTTAAACCTGAGTTGCTCCGCTCTTGCATAGCTTCAGCACTTTCAGCAGGAGGTAATTCAGCTTTGACAAGCGGACCTTGGTTTGGGGAGTAGGGGCGTCCCCTCAATGAAGATGGCTTTCTCTCTCTTCTTGGATCGAGATTTCCAACGTGTGGTACCTCTGAGACAATTTTATCTTCAGATGCTAATTGATCTGATTGACCCACACCTTTATCACTGCTCCCCTTCACACTGCGTAGGGGAACATTAACTTTATCCTGATGATAATCCCTCTTATCGGCCCGACCGCCTTCCATATTAACATTTTGGGCTCTGGTAGACATACCTGCCTGTTGATTATTAACTGCAAGCATGTGGGACTTTGGTTGCCAATGTGGTGGAGTACGATTACCCATGCCAAGATTTTCCTTTGCTGCAGCGCTTCTGTCCATCTGGTTTATGTCAGAAGCTCCTGACAGAGTGTGATTTTGCTGAGTTTCCCCACTGCTGTCTTTGTATTGATGTCCAGAATTTCCTGTGCTTCTCTGGCCCTTAGAAGGATAGCGTTTTCCTTTACCCGTCGTTCCCTCATCTTTTACAACAGGAATGGTGGTACGTGGACCTTCAAAATCACCTGGCATGTTCCAACCATCTGATACATCGAACTCACTCGAACACTTCGAATCAGATTTCGCAGAATCTCCATCAGGCTTCAAAGATCGAGTGTGATCCAGAGGCTTATAAGTGTTCTTGCTGGTATGCTCCGGAGACTTATAAGTGTTCTTGCTGGTGTCCAATGCCAAGTCTGCTGAACCCCTTTGCCTCCACACTCCATGTGCTTTCCCTTGCCTATTATTATTGTGTTTGACGTCACCAATCCTGGACTCTATGGAAAAGCTTTCAATTACAGAGCTAATAGGTAGGTTTTCAGGCGTAGAGTCTGCCCTTCCAGTTGTCTCATCTGGACCAGGAGAACTGCCTGACGACAACAGTGGCGGTTGACTACTAGCATGCTGTGCAAGCTCTTTGGCCACCGGTTTTGGAACATATCTCTCCATTTCAGCCCTCTTGCTTTTTGAATTACTCTGCACCATATTATCACTCTTCAGAGGACCAACGGAATCAGACGCAGTTTTCTGCCTTGCTTCAGCAGCATCTTCAGTTTTGCTCTGAGACCGCACAGGTGCCCACACAACCGTATCACCTCCATGAAACTTATCAGTATGCACATTAGGGTGCTGATTTCTCTGCGGCCTGCGAGGGTGCTGAGGTTTCCATTGGTTAATTACTCGACTATGACCTTCTTCCATAGGCAAAGGAGAACTCTGATCAGAAGGCTGCACAACACAATCACCACTTACTGCCTGAACTGAGCTCACATCTAGAACCAGCTGAGATGAATTCAACTTCTCCTGTTGCATACCGACTTTAGCAGGATCACTATCATTTTGCACTGGTAATGGAGTAGCTGGGCTAGGCAGCGCAGTATCAAGCTTCTGCTTGTTCTTGTTGGTCCTATTACCTTTCCTTCTCTGCTGCGCGGAAGACTCAACGGCAACCTTGGCATTATTAACCATGTTTGATTCAGCACTTAAGCCAACTTCATGAGTCTCAGTTGATGGAACATCATTAATATTTACATCATTATGACCCTTGGATACCTCAGTAACGCTAACCAGAACTGATTTTTCATTCATATTCTTTGGTGTCATATTTGGCCTTTGCTTGTGGCTAGTACGCTTATGCTTGACAACACCCCCATCACTTGACTGACAAGCAACTTTTCCATGAGTGGTAGCAACCTTATTGGCATCCTGCTTAGATAGCAAAGCTTGGGGTTGTGGGATGGCTATTTCTGACTGGACCATAATAGAAGTGCCAAATTCTAACATAATAGGTGGATTAGTATGCTCACTGCCTTTCTCTAGAATGTGGTTGCTAGTATCAATTACATCACACTGTGCTGCTAAAGCTGCATTGCGGGCTTGAGGTCTGACACTAGGCACCACTGGTTCAGGGGGTGAGGAGCCTTCCAGATCTTGCTTCATAACATCAGGGGACGAATCCTTTATAGCCTTCTGAGACAAAGCATCACCTGCCTGCATACGGCGATTCAATTCCTCCAATTTAGCAAGAGCTTTGGCTTTCTGTTGTTTACTTCGTTCTTCCTCTTCTTTCTGTAGCTGTAAGGCACGCTGCCTGGCTAACTCTTTCATCTTTGCACGCTAATGAAAGCAAGTGGCATACATTAGATTAGATAAAGGGAATAAACAAGTAACTGCCGGATCATGGATAAGTTAAGAGTAAAAGGTAAACATACTACCTGCGCTTGGTTATCTGCTGAATCATGCAATTCTGACAAGGATTCTTTTTCACCACTCACAATTATATCAGTTAAAGCTTGCTCAGCAGCCTCAACTTGAGGACCTGGCTCACATGCATGAACATTAGAAGCAGGTTCTAAGCATGTTGCAGAAGCCACAACAGATGATTCAGCAGCAATGGGCCTTTTTCTCCAACCATCATCATGACTATCAGATCGGGCTTTACCAAGATTATCACTTTTGATTTGCACACCACGATTTGGCCTCCTGTGAGAAAAATGTTTTTAGTAAAAGGAACAGCATATATGTGAAATATCACACACAGTATAAACAACCATGACCATATCTGAGAGATATCACACACAGTATAAACAACCACCTTGACATAGTAGCTGTTAACTGGCCTCCCTTGTTCCCAGTGGTTCCAGTATGAGTTCTTTCGAATGACACAAGAGCACCTTTAACTTCATTTATTGAATTGGTAACCTTAGGATTTAGTTCTGACTTATTGATATCCTCTTCAGAAGAAACATAAGGCGCTTCATAACGTCCATCAGATGCTCGAACTTTTGCATTTAGACCTTCAATCTTCTGCATCAAGGAGGAGTCTCTGGCAGTCACTGCAAGAGTTGAACCCCTTTCAGGAGCTGAGGAAGACGGAGGCACTCCACCAGAGGATTCCACATAACCTGGTTTCTTTGTATAACTGCCATCAGCAACCTTCATAGTATTTATACCTTCAAATGAGTTCGCTTTGGTGTTATCTGAAGAATCACATCCTCGATCATCATAACTACGCGGATAACAGTTCCCACTCCCTGTAGTTCTCCTTGAATACAATTCCTTCTCCCTGTCATGCTCACCTCCCCGCTCATGCTTCTGCAATGATCTCTGAAAGTTTCTATCAGGATATGGGCCATTAGTGGGCGCAGAATGTTCCCACGTCTCTCCTTCCTCTCTTGCATCATGCTTTAAAAGAACTTTATATGGTCCTTTAGCATCATCAGGGTGAGCAGACTCTACTCCCTCTGGCAATGCTTTGGCATTAGCACCATGGCTGCCAATTCTGGCATGAGTATTAGTTGGATCAGGAGTGTTTGGGCCTGAATATCTATTATAAACTGGGGGACCAGGAGGCATGCCCATGAGAGGAATTTCCCGCTCATTGGAATTGCTATAACCCATTGGTGGTCCATAATAACCCTCAAAGGCCACTGGACCAGAGTAAAAACCAGGTCTAAATGGCATATTTGGACGAATATAAGCATCGGTAATCTGGGGTCTATACATATCTCCACCTCTGGGATGGTGCCCTCTGGATC